CTGGCGGCAGTGTGGAGGAGGTAGTATCTGCACTGAGACACAGCGCAGTGGCTCAGACTAGAGACAAGGAGCTTTGATGTAGAACAGTGTAGTAGGGATGAAGAGCAGAAGTGGATGTGAGATATATTTAGGAGGGTATTGGACAGGATTGAAGAGACTGGATGTGGACCAAGAGTGCATACTCAAGGGCACACCTCATGCAGGATCATTGGCATGTGCACGCACATTCATTGACACACGCGTGCACATTCATTGGCACAGGCACACTGCCAAGGAGGAGCACCTACTAGCTCTAGATAGGAATGCACAATCTCAGATTCACATGTGCATTTCCACGTTTGGTGAAACCATTCGTGGTCACCTCTGCAAAGCTCCTTCTCTCCTCTGACTCTGTCAGAATCCTGTTCTGAAACAGGAAGTTGTTCCCTCTATTACATATAGATTCTTTATAGATCTGTCTCAGTGGTTCTCAGCCTGCGGTGCACCATCCCACTCCTCATTGAGAAAGTTCTAAAAATGTAGAAGTGCTTCCAGTTGTTACAATGACCTGAGTGTGTTATTGACCTTTAATGCTCAGGAACCGAAGTTGCTAAACAGGCAATAAAAAACTGTTCTGCCCAAAATACCAAGAGCACTGCTTCTGAGAAATATTGGGAAAACTGCAGTCAACAAGACCTACATATGAAATGGCCCCTTCCCTTAACAGCTGGGACAGATTCCTTAACATCTCTGAGCCTTAGTTTCTCTGCTTGTAAGTTAGGAATTTGCTGCCTGAACTCTTGTGAGGGTTCAGTGAACCAGCACCACGCCTGATGTGTATGCAGCTCTCTGTAGGCAGTTTCCTTTCCTTGTTTAGCATAGCATCTCTTTTCTCAGCTTACTTTTATGGGTCATGAACCAGTGTGCTAATTTCCAAGAAGCAAATGTTGTTCCCACCCCTCTCATGACCCTGGGCACAAGGAAGGCCTGTGCAGTCCACTTCAAGGGCTCATGATTGACAGCAAAATTTCCCTTGAAATAACTCGTGAACAGCTTGTGGAAGTTAAGCTGTCAGAAGTTCCACCTCAGAAAGAGCTGTTGCCAGCACTAATGGCTGTCAGCCCATTGTATTTATAGAGACAGAAGCAGTGTGGATGAATGGATAGTTCATGCCCAAGGTGGGGGTGTGTGAAATTGTAGACAAGCCAGTAGCCACTTCTTTATTTTAGAGTTAATCATCCACAAGGAAGTTGTTAAGACCCTTGACAGTCTGAAGCTTTATAACCAGTCTCTTGAGATGGTAATAAGAGATATTTACCAGTGATTAAGTCCCTACTAGGTTCTAATCCCTGAAATAGATCTTTATTTGCACTATTTCTATGCTATCATTTGGGTGTGGTTTATCTCTGAGGGGTTCAAACTTTAGCTTGGACCTCTGTGGACCCATCCTGTTCCTGAGCCAGTGCTATACTGTTTGACTATTTAAAATACAGGCTAAGGGTCCACGGCAGAGTGAGGGCTTAGATGTGCAAGGTTCTGAGTTCCATCCTCAGTGCTCACACCAAAGGAGAAAAAAGATATTTAATAAGTCTTGGTGCCAAATAGGCAAATCCTCTCATTTCTTACTCTTTTTCAGAAGCATCTTGGCTATTCCTGGATCTAGGCTCATCCTTCTGAATATTAAGATCATTTGTTTCACACAAAACTTCATTGGATTTTGATTGTGGTTCCCTTGAATATGTCAAAGGAGAGACTGTCAACACCTTTACAAAGCAGATGCTTCCTGCCCACAAAAATGGTCCTTTCCTCATTTATTTAGCCATCCCTGTATGTCCTTTAGTCAAGTTTTATGTCCTGTGACTAATATAATGTTCTTTCATCTTATTTCTCCATTTTAATATTAGTGCATGTTTGTAACATGAAATAGTGATATTCATTTTGGGGAGCTGGTAATGCATATAACCTATCTTGATCATTTTCAATCCCTTTACCCCTCTCTCTTTTTCCTCCTCTTTCTCTCTGGTCACCTTCCCCATCTCTAACAGTCTCCTTTCTAATTTCCTATCATCTCTCCTCTATTTTACTTTTTAAATTTATTGATATTTTAGTTTCTCATATAACATGTGATCATTTACTTTCTGAGTCTGGCTTAGTTCTGTCTGCATTACAGACTTAAGATCCATCCATTTTCCTGTAAATGACAAAATTCCATTCTTCTTCATGGCTGAATAATATTTCATTGTGTACATGGTGTGGTCAGAGATATACAGTGGAAGATACAGTGGCATTAAAACATTCCTCCTCACCTCAAACACATCTATTCTATCATTATTGCCACTTTTTGAAGCAGTTCCGGAAATCCTCTTTCATGTCTTTGTTATACTCTTTTTTTTTTCTTCAAGTAATGGAAATTGAACTCGGGACCATGCCAGGCAGGCATGGTGCCACTGAGCTAAATCCCCAGCCCATGTCTTTGTTATAAACAGTGTTTGTGAGGCCACTTGGAGACAGGCTTTGTGAGGAAAAAAAGCTTTATTCCTGTCCAGGTGTGAACAGAGACTGAAATTGGGGGTGGATTTCAGCAGCTAGCTGGGAAGAGCCAAATTTATTTTATCTGTGTGTGGATGGGCTGACATTGAGAAAGAGAGATATCAGCAGTTAGCTGGGAAAGAAATTAGTTGCTGTTGTTGGGGTTTTTTTGTTTTTTGGTACTGGGGAATTGAACTCAGGACCTTGTGCTTGTGAGGCAGGTGCAGGACCACTGAGCTAAATCTCTATCCCAGAAATTAGGTTTATATAGGGCTTGTGAAGGGGCTGTGATCATAAGGAATGTTTATGACTGATGGTCCAAGGTCGGTCAGTGCAGGTGTGCAGACAATCACTGGACTTCTCCAAGCCAGGGAGACTGTATACTCTGTCCTAAATTTTCTTTATGATCATCTGTGCTAATAGCCTGTTGTTTGCAGAGAGTGGCCTATTTGTTTGTGAAGGTCTCATTCAGGCCCAGTGTGATAGTCTTTAGTAGTACTGTTGTGGCTGCTTTGACCTCCTGAATTAATTCAAAACGTTTACCTTTCATTGTCATTTTGACTTTGGGGGAAGTCACATGGTTTCACATACAGTGAATAAGGACATACTGTAATGTTTTTATTGGTCAGAAATTGTTGGAAACAGTTGATCAGTGAGGAATAATCAAAAATATGGTTTAATGTTTAAATAAAAAACATATTACAGGGGTGGGGGTTTAGCTCAGTGGTTCCACCACCTGCTTTGCAAGCACAAGGACCTGAGTTCAATCCCCGGTACCAAAAGAAAAAAAAGTATTACCGTAAAAGACACATTGTCATTAATACGCTTCAAAATACTCCCACTTGCTTTGAACACACTTATCTCATTGTTCTTGGCAAGATGTCTTTTAGTGTAGTAAGTTTTAAAAATGTAAACATTCACCCTATCTTTTGATCACCCCTTATATATATACACCACTTTTTTTTAATCCATTCATCTGTTGACAGGCATCTATGCTATTTCTAGAGCTTAGCAATTATGAATTGTGCTGCTATAAACACAGGTATGCATGTATCACTATTGTACAGTGTCTTTAATTCTTTTGGGAATATACCTAAGGGAGGTAAAGCTAGGTCAAATAATATTTCCATTTTTAGTTTCTTGAGGAATCCCCATACAGATTTCCATATTGCTTGTACTAGTTTACACTCCTATTAACAATGTAGGATAAGTAGTCTTTATTTTTCAAACCAGTTCAAATTGAGTTTTCCATTTCTTACAACTGAAAGTATCTTAAGTGATACATTACTAAAATAGATTTTGATGATAAAATTAATCACCCACAATTCTGTCAACCAGTGTTATTAGCATTTTAGTATGTTTTCTTAAACCTTTTCCCTCTATTGTAGCTATATGCTTTTCTCACAGATAAGATGGCTTGTAAAATTTTGTGTTCCCCTTTCTCTTTAACATTCTAACATAAGGACTCTCTTTGCCATTAAAAATGTTTTGTATCATTTCAGTGTAGAAAAGAACACATAATGTAAGATTTATCAATGTAATGGTTTTCAAGCATACATATCAGTGATGTTAAGTATATTCATATTGTTTTCAAATAGCTTTCCAGAACTTTTCCATTTTGCAAAGCTGAAATTCCATACCCAACAACTTCCTTTGTCTTGCTCCCCCAAGTCTTGGTTCTAAGGATCATTTTAATGGTTATAATTACAATTATATCATTTGCCCTTATGAAAAATCATCCTCCTTTTGTGTATAAAAGAAGTTTGTATTTCTTCCTAAGCATCCCATGGGTATCGCTGGCCTGAGATACATTTTATATTAATTTCTTAGTTTGAGTTTCTGGGCCATCAAGAGGTGTAAATTCAAACAGCAAGCCTATGTCAGGTAGAGATCCATGGTTAGAAATTCTCTTAAGATAACTTTCCTTAAGGAAAGAAAAGTGATCTTCCTTGACATCTCTCTTTGTGTGGGAGGTGAAGGTGGAGAATTTTTTATCTAGCTTATTATAGGATGTACCATTAGTGACATACTCATATCCCATCGGCATTCATCCCTTCCACACCAGTGTACCCCACTGTAAACATCTGTGGCTCTCCACTGAGGGCTTTCACTTGGCTCATGAGTGAAATAAGCCAGAGGGGATGGGAAGTTAAGGTTCCTGGGAGTGATGTTTTTGCCAATGATGAACGGGAAGAAAGGGGTTGGCACCATGGTAGAAACTTGTACACTGATATAACCTCTACTGACTTTCATCCTTGCCTTGTCTCCCTTCTCTATCTCTACACTAGTGCTGCTTGGGATCACCTTCCAAATAAGCTACTCATACTCAAATCCTTCTTTTGAGTCTAAGAAAACTGGTGCCAAAAGTCACCCAAGGAAGCAGATCCTCAGTATGGGATTCTGAGATTGAATCACCTGCTAACCCAATGTCAGTGGTACGTGGGGTAATACCAGTAGTCATGCTACCTTACCACAATTAATAAAACCCTTACCTTTGGACTGGAATGTGATACATGTGGAAGGAGACACAGTGCTTTATTCAGTAGCTCCAGCACCTGAAAGATACACGGGAAAGGATAATTATAGGGATGGCAGAGCTGGCTGGCTATTGTTGTCTGCCATAGAAACCTAGAAGGAAAAAATAGCAAGCTCATGTCAGCCTACTATCAAATCAGGACACATTGTGAAGGCCACAGGGCCTGCATGGCAATGTTTAAAGTGATCCTCATCTCCTGCAGCTAGAGGACAAATTGTGTTAAAAATAAGGCCAAGATTTGATTGCAAGAGTGGTGGAGTTATAAAAGAAGATGAATTCATAGCCCTAAACAGTCTCTTATGCCAAAATCAGGGTCCTGGCAAGGTGAGATCAGGACCCTAATATATGTGATGGGGATATCTAGGTATCTGCCTTGGAGAACCTGGAACCCTTGAGCCAGCAGGAGGTGTGCCCCTCCCCCTCCCTCACCACTTGTTAAGAGGACAACCCCCCACTGCCACCTTCCTTGCCTCTAGACCATTAACATTGTCAGGTGTCAGCATACCTTCAGTGAGGCAGTACTTTCCTTGCCATGGAATAAAAAGGATTATTAAAAAAGAGTAGAGGACACAACTTCCACATGGGAAGACATATATGGGAATAAATTCTGAAATTTCTAGATCTGTGAAGTTGGACTCTAAGGTTGGGTGTGAAAGATTTGATGATATGGATTCCTTCCATAGCTGGAGCTGGTCCTATATGGAATGGTTCCTCAATGCTTGGAAGCATGATGGTCTATAGGAAATTAAACAAGAGTACTGAGGAGGAGGTCAAAAGCTCTAGGGAAATAACCATGTTAGAATGGATTTATTATATAATACCAGAGAACCCTCCAGCTGATTACATTGCCTGGGAAGGCTCAGAAGACATTTCCTTCATTGAAGTAATGAGGAATATGCTAGTGAAAGGGCTTGGTGGTGACTGTCTTCTGGTCCAGGGTTGATGGTAACAGATGCTCTATGGAACTGAGCTCCCGTGGTTTCAATGAGATGATAGAGTTCTAGAATAGCACAGACAGTGGATAATAAACAATGATGTTTCTTGGGTTGAGAAAAATGGATGGCCAATGGGAATGCTGGTTTACTTATATGATCAAGATTGATTAAGAGAGAGTGAGCAGAAGGTTGACGGCAGTAGAAAAACATCATGGAACTATGATTTCCCACCTATTTCCAATTTCTAGAGCACTTGATGAAAGGGGGCTGTACCCCTTGAAGAAGGACTCTGATATGTCAGTGCTCCTCACTCTTTTTCCCAAAGGGACCGACAGTCATTTATCACAGTAATTATACACTAGTGCACAGGAATACCCAGGTCTTTGGAAGGCTACTGGATATAGACTTCAGAAAGGACACAAAATGCCATGATGGTCTTTGAGATTAGGATGGGGATTTGTGGAAGCAAGTGTTACATGGAACCCTGGTCCAAGTTCATCTTCCTAATTGCTGATTGCATAATTGGGATGGATATACTTAGTAGCTGGTTTGCCTGGCCTCTGAGGAAAGAGTCATTGTAATATGAAAGGGCAAATGAAAGCCCCTGAAGCCCTACCCTCCACCCCACCAACTGAGATAGTAAATTAGAAGTTGATAATACTGCATTCCAGGTGGGTCCACAGAGATTAGCACCACTCTTAAGGACCTAAAAATCAAATAGATCAAAGCAAATGCTGGTAAATTACCATACATTTAAACATGTGGCAACCTCAATCCGAGATGTGGAGCCAGACTTATTATTTTACCATATAGATCAACACAGCATTTGGTAATTAAGCTGGTGAGTGTTATTTTTAATATCCACCAGGAAAGCACATCAATAGCAGTTTTCATTTACCTAGGACAAAGAGCAGTAGACATCTACTGGTCTTGCCTGAGAGCTAAGTTAACTCTCCTACTCTGTCACAGTATAGACCAAAGGGATCCTGCTCATCTCAGTATTCTACAGGATTTCATGCTGGACACCATATTGATGAAATCTCATTAATCAGATCTCATAAAGAGGAGCTGATAAGGACCTAGAACCTTTGGTAAGACACCTGAGTGCTAGAAGGTAAGAGATAAATCATACAAAACTCATGAAGCCTTCCACAACAGTGAAATTTTCAGGTGCCCAATATTGTGGGGTATGCTGGAATATCCCCACCGAGTAAAGGGAAAACTATCGTGTTGAGATGGGCCACCAGTGAAAAGAGAAGGCTCATTGTGGAAGCACGTATTGGAGAGAGATGGAATTCACTCAAGCCTACCTTCTCCTACATCCAGAACCATCTCATGATAGTCTCACAATTTGAAATATGGGACTAAAACTACATCCGAGTGACCATCCAGACAATCAAACAAGGTTGTCAGTTTGATAGCACAGCTGCAAATCATCCATCCATCCACCCAACTATCCATCCACCCACCCATCATCCATCCACTCATCATCCATCTACCCATCCATCTACCCATCCATCCATCCATCCATTTATTTCTTTGGTAAAGCAATCGACATTGAGCATCAAGGACCCAGCACTGGACACAGTGGTGGCCACTGTTCTAGGCACAGGATATATAAGGTGGTCAAGAAGACAGAGCAGGTCCCAGCTCTCACAAATCTCATGTTACAGCCATATGTGGAACTGGATAGCCCCTGAGACTTCCCGCCCCTCTCCCTCTTGCAGTTTCTATCCTCAGACAGGACAGTGGCTCCTTCAAGCCAGGCCCCTTGGCACCCTCAGAATGCAATTAGAATGATCCAGATAGAGACTGTCAAGTGTGCACTTTCACAAAGAGACAATCTGGGTTTAATTAGAGGATTCCATTAACCCATTATTCAATCAACTGAAAGGCCCTCTAGCCTGAAAATTTTGAAATGCAAAGGAAGGCAGACACAGTCGGAGAGATTTTTAATTTTTAAGTGTCCGAGGGCCAGATTACAGCTAACTCCACATGCAGTTAGTGCTCTCCAATCCTTTTCCCAGTAATTATTGTAAAAAGCTTTGAGAAACCTTGAGCATAATCACAGTTCCAGGAAAACACATTAGACAGCATATTAATTACATTGGTTGCTGAAAATACCATGGACAGGGCAAATAACTGCATAAGGGTCAGGGCCATGGGACAGCCAGGATGAAATAGCGTACTTCAACCTATAAAGCTGCAAATCATGATGTCCGGGGAACCGTCATCTGAAATCCAGATGGCCTGGGGAGAACACTGCTGACGGAGGGCCTGATGGTCAGGGAGGATTCTCAAAGCTGCTGAGCCCCGTAGAAGGGGTGTGGCCTTGCCTTGCAGAGGATCTGCTGGGATGAGAAGGTGCAGTTAGACACAAATAAACTTCACTGAGCTTCGGGACAATGGGAGAGGGACAGGGATATGGCCCCACAGAATGCCATGTCAGAAAGTGCAGTGAGATGCTCTGATGGAGATGTTACACCCCCATGTGAAGAATTTGCTGAGGTCAAACTGACTGCTGTCCTCAGTACTGGCCTGGAGTATCCCCACTGCATTTCCCATACTGTCACTGCCCAGGATAGGATGGGCAGCTAGCCCACATTGCTCTCCCCTTCTCCAGGCATTAGTGACTGACAAAGGCTATATGCTGACCCAGGACTGCCCCATGTAAGGAACAGGTCCTTTGTTCGTTGTCAGCCACCCGTCTCCCCTCCTCCATCTTCCGCATTACCCTCCTTAAGCTGCCCACTCAATAAATGTCAAATCAATGTTGCTTGAGCTTTTTCATTGTGTCAGGTCCTGTGCTAGACACTGTACATATAGTGCCTCATATAGTAGAGAGAGCTTCTACTCTCTTTTAGGTAGTTCTCTTCTTGACTAAGAGGTAATAAAGCTACAAATCACCCCAGCCAGCTTATAGTTCCGTAAGAGCCTGCTGGGGAATGTGGAGCAGAACCGGGAAATGAAAGCACCTCTACCACAGAGAGCCTCAGAAGCCCCAGGCAGCTGCTGGGGCCCTCTGGGTTAAGCCACGGTCCCAGCCCCACACACAGCCTGGACTATCTTGTGGGGCTGGGACCCTGTTGGGGATGAAGCCTCCTCACCAGCCCTAGTGATGAGCCAGGCCACCTGAAAATTTCTCCTCTGTCGTGTTGCTTAACTCTGTGAGGAGCACTGCTGATGGATCAAGAAATGTAAAGGAGAGAGAGTATTAGCCTGGGAGGGAGAAGTTTGGACTCTGCTCCTGGTTCAGATGATTACCCCTGAGTGGCTTGGGATGCCTCATTTAAAGCTCTCAGATTCAATTGTCTCATCTGAAAACGGAGACAAAAGACATCTGATCTGTTTGATGGGATGGACCTTAACCAGAGGGCCTCTTGAAGCCCTTTCCAAATCTAATATGTATTATTTTACACCCTTTTATTCTGAAATATAATACCCAGGAAGTACATACAATATGAATACAGAGTTTAATCATTCTTTCTGGTTTTTAAAATTGCCCGTAGATAGAATCATATAGTGTTCATTCTTTTGTATATGGCCTCTTTTGATCAAAATTGTATTTGTGAGATTCACCTATGTCGTTGCATTTAACCAAACTCATTTTGTGTTGCTATATAATATTTTTTGTAGAAATATACCACAGTTTATTTTCCATTCTATTGTTCATGGACACGTGGGCTGTTTCTAGTTTGAGGCTCTTGAGGCAATAGTGCTATGAACATTGTGCCCACATACATTCTTGTGCAGGTATTTCTTGTAGTTATTTCTGGTTCATGGATATGCAAATCTTCAACTTTATTAGAAAATGCCAGTTTTCCAAAGCAATTGTGCCAATTTACATGCCCATCAACAGTGAAAGAGAATTCCCCTTACAGCACATGGTAGCCAAGCCTATAGGTGTTGATTGATTTTTTTTTTTGTATCCATATGATATGTATGTGGTAGAATCCCCATGTGACTTTTCCCTGGTTAATAATGAAATTGAATCCCTTTCCTTAAATACATTTACTGTTTAGATTTTGTCTGTGTGAAGTTCCTATTCAAGCAAGTTATCGTTTTTTACATTATATTATTTGTTTCTTCTTCATCTCTAGGTGCTCTTTCATATCAATTATATGTGTGGATGTTATTTCCTCCCAACCTGTGGCTTATCTTTTTACTTTTGTACTGTCTTTTTATGAACAAAGGTCTTAATGTGGAACAATTTTCTCTTTCATGATTAGTACTATTTTGTGACTTATGAAATCTTTTCTTACCCTTAGGTCATGAAGATATTCTCTTATGTTATCTTTTAAAGGATTTGCTATTCCTTTTCTTTCTGGTGCTGGAGGTGGGGTTTGAATCCAAGCCCTTCACACTGAGCTATATTTTCACCCCTTTCTATTCTGAGACAGGGGCTCACTGAGTCATTAAGTTACCCAGGCTGAGCTCAAACTTGCAACCCTCCTGCCTCAGCCTCCCAGAATATTGGGATTACAGGTGTGTGGTACCATGCCCAGACTCTGTTTAATTTTTAGGGCTCCAATCTATCAAGAATTTTCCAGTTCATCTGAAATTTATTTTTTGTAGATGATGTGGGAATAAAGGACAAATTTTCTCTTGTCTTTTTTTCTCCTCTCTTTTTTTCTTTTTCCACACGTGGATACCCTCTTATTCCAATCTTTTCCCCAGTGTTCCACAGTGTCTGTCTATGCACAATCTATTTTATATTTCTTTATTCTACTCCATTGGTTCAGTTTTGTCTCTACACCAGCACCACACTGTCTTAAGCACTATTACTTCATAGCAAATCTTGATATCTGGTAGAACAAGTCCTCTTACCCTGTTTGTTTTTCTTTATTGTTATTGTGTCTTTGTTTGCAGCACTGGGGATTGAACTCGGGGCCTCATGCATTTGAAAGAAGCTTTGTATCACTGAGCCACATGAGCCACACCACCAGCCTTTACCCTGGTTTTTCTATTTATTTTTTAATAAATAGAAAATGCATACAGTGCATAATGATTACATTCACTGTGAAGAACTGGTACGTGTACTTAACATATCTCAATTCTTTTACCCTGTTCTTTTTTTTTTTTTTTTTTGGTACTGGGGATCAAACTTAGGACCTTGCACTTTCGAGGCACCCTGTTCTATTATAAGAGCATCTTGGATAAACTTTTTTTTTTTGGTACTGGGGATCAAACTCGGGTCCTTGAGCTTGCGCAGCAGGCAGCGAAACCACTGAGCTAAATGATGCCCGGCCCTTGGATAAACTTTTTACACTTCCATATACATTGTAGAATCAGCTAGTCATGTTTCATAAAAGAAACTTGTGATTGTAATTGGGATTTTACTGAATCCGTTGATCAATGTTGGAAAACTTTCCTTGATTACGATATTGGCTTCCAATCTATGAACATGGTACCAGTATATTGCTCCACTTACTTAGATCTTCTTTAAATCTCTCAAAATGTTCTAGTTACCTTCAGACCATCCATAGTAGCTACTACCCTTGCACTATCTCAGTAGTCCTCTGTGATGCCACCTTTCTTCCCAGGTTTCTGTCCACAGCTCCAGTTTCCCCTCAAGCCTAAGCCATCTTTGTCCAATGAGGACAAAGAATCTTCCTCTACCTCCACCTTCTCAAGCCATTTACCTGCTCAACATTTTCTTTTCTTAAACTATCCTAAATGCTATAACCACCTCTATGTCAACTCAACAATGAACACAATTTCCTGGTATCCCTGAGGCTCCCTGCCGGTGCCACACAAAATAACTGGCAAGTGGCCTTAATGAGTAGGTGGTACTTGCAGTGGAAACTTCCCCTGAGTCCCTCTTCTTGCAGTAGCCTGTGTATCCCATATACGGTTAGTATATCCCATGCTTCAGCTCCAGGAAGGTCACTAACATGGTGAGATGGGTTAATCAACCTCTAGGTTCAAGGATGTCAAAGACTCTACACTTCTTCCAATCTATACTTCTGGCCCAAGGTCTGGGGATGCCAACAGAAGTAATGAAGCAAAGGAGACTGGGGTGGACATGACAAAGGGGCCTCTCTACCTCTCACAGTGCAAGACAGACACTCCATGAGCACAGACTGACATATTATCTGTGACCCATACTCCCTTGGTTAACACAGACATATCACATGACAGCTCTGAAGCTTAGACTGTTCACTTATAAAACTGGGATAACACTTGCACTGGCAGATAATATAGATTAACTGATATGACCATATTTTCTCCTGCCTTCCTCTGTGACGGTGATGGTGAACCTTTTAGAGCTTTCAATGATACACAGACTGCTGAAGCACATGTGCCATAGGTTCACCACCACTGCTCTATGACAGGAAGTGAAATGCTTAGAACCCCATCCCTCTTGCAGACAGAGGTAGCCATGATATCGCATAGCTCTAGCTAACAAGATGCAGGCAGAAGTCCTCAGGGAGACCTCTCCTTCTGAAATAAAAAGGCAATGCCTGATAAAGAGGAAGCTACTGCATTTTACCATTTGCTTTTTGCCTCCCTGAACCCCCTTTCCTTCTGCCTAGAACTTGAGTGGGATGTTTGGAGGTTCAGAAGCTATTTCATTCTATTTAAGAGGAAACACACACACACACACGCAAAATAAGTAGAGAGAAGAAGCCTAGTTCTCCATAAGGCCCTTGACCAGCCATATGGTCCTGAATTTTCTAACCTGAACATTGGTTTGTGTGGGAAAAGCAACTCCTCACTTGTTTAATTAATTGGTAGGCTTTTCTCATGCTTGTGATTAAAAGCATTCCCAATATACACCGACTACAGGATTATGATCAGAAAGACAGTGGACGCAAAGTCCAAAGAGTACCCTATGCTCAAAAAATCACCTCTTTTACAGACCCCTGAGTGTGAGTCCATTACCCAGACAGACCAGGAACTTTCTGAAGACAGGACCTTAGAAAATGAATCAGGGCACACAGTGGAGGTCAGTATGGACTGAGTTTAACTGAACCAAACTCTCTCCTGGGCAGTAGTAGGCTGTGCTTTAGGCAACCAAATAAAATAAGAATATCTTTGCATACAGTAAGTATGAATGGGAGCCATGATCCCTTAGGCGTTGGAATTCTGCATTACTTTATAGGTGAAAGATCAATTCTGAGCCTAGATCAGCACCCTTTAATATACAAAGAAGCCCTGAGCACCTCTATGGCAATGCTATGAATCCTTTTCCCTATTCTGGGTTATGCTTGGATCCAGGGGTTACCTGGGACCTGGTTCTTAGCCCTGTGTGATTAATTTGGTTCTTCAGGGGATCTAACAAAGTTGTATATTTAGGAGATCTAACAAAGGACAGATGTATCAGTGTAGCACAGAAGAAAA